GCTAGTATACATATCACTAGCAATTTGACTAAATTATCACAGATTACAAATAAGTTATTTTGTTAAAAAGAAAGAGTTTGCTAGTAAGATAATTATCAGCAAATCTACGCGTCATGCTACGTGCTACATCATCTACGCAGGTTGCTACGGACTACGCCGTAGCTCGTAGCATTCCCCGCTAATGTGACGTAATCAGGCCCATTCGAGGCACATGTTGTGGCCGCGAGGAATTTGTGTAATGATGTGGATTAATGCCTTGTGGTCTGGCCATAGGTCGCACCGTGACATCTATGAACTATGAGCTAGGTACATTTACAAGCAAAAGTTTGGAATCACTTGTGTTTGTTCCGAGCGATTTAAAATTAAATTGAGGCGATTCCATATTTTCTCATGAGAGTAGTTTGTTGGTCATGTTTTATGAAATTATGAAAGATAAATCTGCCGCAGTCATGTACATGCAGATTTAAAACTGCGTTAGTAAGAAAAATAATAGTGGTATTGATAACTGTAAGCAAATATAGTTGGAACCAAATGACGATACAAAATAGAGCATTGTTTTTGTTATAGGAGGTGTTATAAATTGTGGTCTTCAAATAAATAAGTCAACTGTTTGACTGAATAAGGTCCAAAAGTATACTTTTGCACAGAAAAATATAAGTTGTCTCGATCACATAAGGTATTAATATTCACCAATAAAAATTTTAGGTTGTGCTTATATTTTATAAATAATGTCCAAAAATCTTGTTGTACGAGCTTTTTCTTGTAATGAATAACAAGCTTGATAAAAGGTTTGGCTATACCATTCTGTACCACTTTTGTTATCAATCTTTTCAATTTGAAAAACCGGTTTCAAAGAGCCTGAAGGGTTCTTATCATGAAGATGAACATCCGTCTCGTAGAGATGGTACTCGACTTTCCAAAGAAATGAAACGTTGATTAATTTAAAAGATACAGTTAATAATAAAATTTCCATTCATTAGCAGTCCAGGAAAATGATGAATGATTTATTTAATATTCAATGAAAATGGAACAAATTGATAATATTTCATGTTTATATTTTAGCATTTAGCATAAATAAATAAGTAGTTTAAGCGTATTTTGAGGTTAATAAAATATGAACTCATTGGTAATTTAATAATTTTAATTTGTTTAAAACATTTTCGTTTTAATAAAACTTAAACAATAATCAAATTCAAAACTTTTATTGCATGTCACATTACAATTTATAGTGGTGTTACAATTAAGTACATCAAGTAGATATCACAAGCCTGGCTTTATATAATCTACTTTAAAAACTATTAGGATATTTAATTATATTTTAAGGAAGCTGTTTGAATATAACCCAAGATAGAGACAGCTATTGTTAAATTCCTTATTTTTCTTGCCTTGTCCAATCCAACTATGGACATGTTAACTTTTAAGACAATTTCAAAGTAACACAATAGGGCACGATATCTGATACAACAGTAACGGTACTTCTCTGTCCGTAATGGACAAATGAGAGTCGAACATTTTGAACATTTCTCTGTTAAAATAAAGTGTATTTTCTTTCTCTCAATGAACATTTTCTTCAATTGTGTTTTCACAGTAATTAGGTCGATTAAACTTGTTTGCTATATCGATAGTATACAACTCCCGCATGTTGTCTTTAATAATTTATGTTATGATATGAGGCTTGTCACAACAAGATCCATTAGCTTGGTTTTGATTAAAGTTTCGCACTTGGATAATGTTCTATCGATTAGTCTTGGAACTTTGTATGTCAATTAAACTCTATTTATAGATACAATTCGGAAATAACTTGATTATTAACTTAATTGTTCTTAATCAAAACTCATGAAAATTACTTCCTAGTAAAACTTTATAAGACTATAATAATATTTCATCATCATCATTTCAGCCATAGAACATCCACTGCTGAACATATGTCTCCCACAATGATTTCCACAATGGCCGGTTGGTAGCGGCCTGCATCCAGCGACTTCCTGCTACCTTTATGAGGTCGTCGGTCCACCTTGTGGATCGACGTTCTACACTGCGCTTTCCGGTACGTGGCCTTCACTCCAGAATCTTGCTGCCTGCTTGCTGCTGTAGTTTTGCCGACTAGTACCCTGCCAATTAATCTTGTTAATCCGTCGGGCTATGTCAGCGACTTTAGTTCTCTTTTCGTTATATCATAGGGTATATTTACTAACTCATAATACAAAACTTGAAACTAGAGCTAATTCTACGTGATTAACTTTCTTTTGTTCTATCCAAAACATGAGCTGTAATTTCTCAACGTATACTCACGATGTTATTCACAACGTATTTCAATTTGCCTAAAGCCAGCCACTGCTGTGACGTATCTTCATTAAGCAGTCAAAGCTTAATAATCCAAGATGTTAAAAGCCTTAACATGGCGTCGAGTAATTAACCTTGTAAATTAGGCACCTAATCACGTTATGTTTCAAGCGGGGACTTTGCAACGAACAGGTATTAACAGATACCTCTTCGGATTCATATTGGGGATAAATACCGTGCGATACTTTTCGCTTGTGATGTCGTATGACTTGATATCGCACGATGACGAAATAGCTTTTCAAAAGCGATCTTTGCGTGTATTTTAGTGTGAATAAAATCAAAATACTATAGTTACCTACTATATTTCAAACATAAAATAAAGCAGGTACATGTATCTAGATTCTATAATAAATTAATAGTCTATTTTAGGAAAGTCTGTAATGGAAATTTCCAGTCACGATAAACGACGTCAGTATTAAAACATGCTATTACAGTTTCAAGCTAACCCATCGAGCAATTACTCTTCATATTAATTTAGCTTTTAATAACACTAACAAAATGTCCAAAACATCTCTTCTCTTGTTGAATCCAGCAACAAATTGTATTACGTAAGCGATGTCCGTCTATGTTATAGCATGTCACGCTATGTTGAGTGACTGGCAACTAGCAACTGAACTAATAGCAACAGAAGACTAGAGAGAGATTTTACTAGTACCTATTCTTAATTAATTGTATCCAAACCATTTATTTATAGCGTATTCATTTATAAATATAACTCATTGTTACAACGAAAGTAGGTGGGTAAAATGCTGTTTCCATCACCCCCTGGCATCCACATCGCTGTTTTTCTTACAAACTTCGAATATAAATCATAAACATAATAAAATAAATCGGCGACATTAACAAGCACAACAGCCCTCGAAAAATGTATATGACTCATTCGAATGCGTAATACGAACGCGAGTAATATTTCCTATTGAATAAAGCTCCAAAAATCTTAACGTTATTACACACGAAGTAAAGTGTATAAAATGAGCTTTATACAGGATTTTGTGTGTACAGTATTGTGTTCAGACCAAGGGTTGAGGAAGTTTTATTTCATCATAATCATCATAAGTATGATGTACCTTAAGTATATATAGATTTTATGAATATAAAACTCAGGTAGATGCCTGTATTAAACATGATTTATTGTTCCATAAATAACATGGTCAATGTCTAAGGGTACTTCTCATTTACACTCAAATTTGATGGTCACACAATAATTGTTCATAAACGGTATAAGTTAGAACAATACCTTTGAAATCAGATGATAAAATATCTATTTAGCTACATACAAAATAAATTTGATCGTAATAGAAGCAAAAATAATACGAAAAAATCACATGAAACGATAAAAAACGGGGTCATTTTTCGCGTTCTCATCGTGTCACACCTTCGGTTGCAATGAAACATTTGGTTACTGCATTCACAATTTTCATTCAATTTGTGTGTAGCATATACTAAAATCATCGTAATTAAATATACTTTCCACACAATAGTCAAAAAAATATCTTCTTATAATTATTTTGAATTGAGAAGGCGAAATACGTTGGTCACACGATTTTAGGTACCTAAAATTTTGAGTAATAATACAAGATTGCCGTTAAACCGAACACCAGGAACCAATTACAGTGTTCTATTCGGTTAACGTCAGTCACGCTTCGACCATTGGGGAGGTAAGATAGGTCAATCGTCGCTCCGCGAAAAAAATACGTAGCTTTTTGTGATTTTCCATAGACATACCGTCGCTTGCTTGAACAATATTTTCTACCCCTAGAATTTAAACAATTTATTTGAAACTTTGCCATTTAAAACTTAACATGTTAGACTTATTTGTGTAGTATTTGACTTGAACCGTTAAATTCAAATTTAAGGATAATTCGTAAAAAACTAAAATTTTCGTCACCTTCGTGGCATCACATTCGTGGTGTTTTATACACGAAGCTGATTTTAGGCCACGAAAGTGATTTCTTGCTTTGGTTTATTTTAAAATATAGTGACTGGTGTTTATGTTTTTACAATATTTTAATAACTAATAAATTATACGTGGTAAAGTAGAGATCAGTACATCAATAAATAAATAAGGGCCTCGTATTTTTGTTGTCTGTCTGTATGACTGTATAAGTTTGAGTTAAAAGTTGTACAACAAAAATACGAGGCCCTCTGGCCTAAATAAAAAATATATTTTTGTTGAGGGACTGATAATCCGTTTTTTTGCTTCTTTAGCATTTCAGAATGCCACCAGTGTCACCCTTAAAACCAATTGCGTAGAAACTTGTAACTTAGTAGGTGACCTAATCGGTAAAATGTTATCTTGTATTTAAGTAGGTACCTATTTANCAGATTTGGTGCGCCGTGTGGTGACGGCAGAGTAGAATACATTTGTCACCAACCCCTACTCTTCCCGCGGGTGTCGTAAGAGGCGACTTAGGGACTACACATCAAACAGAGAATGGGCAGCAGCGCTCTCTGAAAAACATCAATCTTTTAAACTGCGATCTCCAACCCGCCTGCCAAGCGTGGAGATTATGGCAAAACCCTCCACTTTAGTGGAGGAGGCTCATAGTCCAGCAGTGGACTGTAAAGGGCTGTTGATGATGATGAATTCAGATTTATATGAAAATTAAAATGAAGATATCAATTTTCTGACTTCACCATACCATTTATATGACCATGTTAACATGGGCTAGTGTCGGCTCATATACCCATTTACCTAACACCCTGTATAACATCCGTAATCTATAGCATCTGTTGGTCGGCGGCGGGGCCGGGCGGCGGCGCGGGCGCGGCGCGGGGTCAGGTGGCGCGGCCCTTGCCCTCCTTGATGGCGATCACGTAGCGCTGCGCCACGCGCTCCGGCGGCGAGTACCCGTCCGCGTACGACGAGTCCTGACGACGAAAGAAACATAAGTATAGTAGGCGCGCGAGTTCATGTCCATCCTGAGGAATGCGGTAGTGCTGTTACCTAACTAATTATGCTAATGTCGATATCGATAATTACCAATTAAATAATAATAATAAATTCTTTATTGATTATCTTATTTGACAGTTTAAACTCTAGACTAATCTTATGCTACAAAAGGTAAAGTTATACATGTGCCTGAACTAGGAAATTTTTTTCCTGTATCTCAGGCGAAATAAAGGCTTAACGATACTTTATTTAACTATCATTAGCAAAATACATATTATACATAAACAATCAACAAATTATATTAATTATCAATACAAATTATGTTTATACTAAAAATTAAAATCTATAGGAACACATTAAGTAAAATCTAAGAATTAAAATCATTTATTATGGTTACATTGTGCTACCTTAATATTGCTTACTTAGCGTTTTCTATTACATACGGCATGCATATAAGTAGGTCAACCTTATCTACTTATTCCATATTTTTTGCAACTTATAAGTAAGTATAAGTAAATAAGTAAGTAAGTAAGGCCCCGATGGACATGAAATCGCGCGCCTACTGTATCTACGAGGTGTGGTTTCGTTGTTACAAATTACGAAAAACGACATCACAATTCAAAACGGCAAAATTAAAAATGTTCAAATAGTAGATGTTCCATTATTGATCACTTAAGACTTGAGTCCTAAAATTCTCCAGCCATAGGCACAGACGATAAGAAGTTAGTATATGGAGATTATACTAGCAACGCAGCATTCTTTTAAACGGTATATAGGACAAGGTGCAAGCTGTATTTTAGAGATAAATTAGTGTCTCAAATATGTTTTTTTAATCGAATGATTGGAGTGTTAAAGCAGACACATTATTACGAAATTAGTTTGGCACAAGTATACTAACTTACCTCAAACAGCACTTCATATGGGTCAGCGGGATTAGCAGGCAGTCTGTTAACAACAGCTCTATAAAAGCACGTGGTCTGTGGGTACAGCGCCATAACCACCGTTCCCTTGGGGAACAGCGCATGCTTCTTGGAGCGCTTTATAACGAAGCTAGTTGGGCTACAACTTACCTCAAACAAAACTTCATAGGGGTCAGCGGCATTAGCAGGCAGTCTATTGACAACAGCTCTATAGAAGCACGTGGTCTGTGGGTTGTGGAACCTAATTAATTTTCATGACGTTAGCATTACTGCTTTGGTTTACATGACAGGTCGACGGTCGACGCCTTCAGAGGCTAAAAAGCCTCACTGCGGAGGCTAGGGAGAGGGCTTAGGGTGTGTTGACTGTATCATTCGATATAGCCAACGCNGGCGATGAGAAATACCCCTAAATTAGAATACATTAGAAAGCATCCATCACTGTTAACGTCACATCAAATGGCCGACTTTGTAAGGGACGACCTTGGTAAAATATTCACCTACGACTATCTCGTAGGTGGCATTCTGTGTGTTTTTACTCCCATGGGAAAAGTGACAGTCATGTTATGTCCACTTTGTTTCATTTTAAAGGAAAATAAATAATCTAGGTAGGTACTTAATGTTGGAAGTTTTTACCATTTGTTCATGTTACATTTTTAATCTTTGACGATTCCTCACCCTGTTTTGTTGACAGTTTTAACGAGCACCTGGAGATTAATAAAAGTATGTAAGCAAAAATAAAGGCTCCAAACTGTCTTATAGTAGCGGTAATGATCTTTATTCACGTCTGAAATCTAGGCAAGTTTTATAAACTTCATAAGTGTATGTTCGATGGTTACGGCTACGAGGAACATACAAATATGATCTTTAAGTGGGTTTGAAGGCGTTATTACTCTTACAGAGCTCTACCCTCAATATAGCATCGTGAAGTTCCACCATTTACGTGTGAATGAGGCATAATTTTAAGTGCCTAGATTCTCTGGAAAGGGACGCAAACCTTATTCAGAATTACAGCAAGTTTGCATATCCTCTAAGAAATGCTGTGTTAATAAACCTCGTTTAACAGAATTTATGAGGAATATGCTTCGTCGTAAAAACTCGGGCTAAGTCATTAAGTATACGAGTGGTAGAGGATACATGGAGAGGTATTGTTCTTCTTTGTTACGCTAACCGAGTGTATAAATTAGTCCCAGAGATTAACTCCAGGAACTTGTTCCAGGGTTGAGTCCACATGGAAATCTGAGTTAAGTTGTTTAAATTATTACTTAGCTTTTGAGTGCGCAAGACAGCAAATCAAGCTTAACTACTTATGTGGAAAAGGTGCTGTTCTGGAACGAAAATGTACAGTCTGATGTGGTGATAATACCTGTAGATAATTTTGTACCCTTTAAAATCTTCTAGCTATAAAGAAAGATAGGATAGGTCGCTACTAATGCCTACACATAAATGACATAACCTATCCCTTGCGGCATTATCACTAAAAGATGTAACCACTACCATAATCGTCATCGTACGGTATGAAATGTGAATATAATCGATTTCACAGTCTACTTGAACCTTTATTGAGTTACAAGCTCGGGTTCTAAGTAGGTAAAATTGCGGCTATTGTCAAGTCGCACATAAAAGGGGTAAAAGTGAGGTGCAAGGGTACTCTCGAAACTTTCCCTAACTTTAGGGTGGTTTGGCAGTTGCGGAAACTGAATTTCATACTCAAGAGAAATAAGATCTGACGGAACTTTATTGAAATACAGATATTTTCGTAACGTATTGTTCGAACATATAACTACCATCTTTATCTGTGTGTTTTATAATCTAAACTACCAATCATATATTTCAAAATTTATTATAACAGTAGAACATAAACGGAATTAAAACAAAACAACCTGAGGTAATTTTAGTTTCAGACGAGAAATTTTTCATGCATTTTCAGAACAAATCTAGCAAAAACGCGAGCTAAGAAACACAATTCTTAGAACCAGTTCCATCTGATCTCAACAAGGCAGACTTCTTTTTTGCCACCGCGGCAACTTGAAATGTGTTTTTAACATAGTATTCGTAATAAAAGAATATTCTCGCAACGTAGCGTGTCCTCAGCACTATAATCTCAGTTTATAACATAAATTGTCATTTTAATGCAGGCTGCATTTACACAGAGCGAACAAAACATCTGTTAAAGGTAACACTATGCTGAAAAATGCGACCTTTTACGACTTAGAGTCAGGTAGCGTAAGTATTTCGGGCCGCATGGACCACTTAAATAGCCGACAGCGGCAGACAAAAAGCGGTCCAGTGCTTAAAAGGTTAAGAGCTACAGCAAAAACGACCGCAAAAATTGAAGGTGCCTAAACAAACTTTTTACCATTTCAAAAGGGTTCTCGTGGAAATTAGGGCGGCAAGGTACGAGTGATATTTCGAGTGATACACACCTCGTCACTCCACTGCACAAATAAAACGTCGTGGAAGTTTTATTCGGAATCGTGTGCGCACATTTTCGTGTTGTTTTTACGACTACAACTTTTTGCTTGCCTACACGTTCCGGGGCATGTTTTCGACGCTTTGCGTAAATAGAGAAACTGCAAAGTGTGAGTGTTGAAGCAAACGTATGGACCTTTATGAAGTTTGGTCATGTGACGAAGATAGTTTGAGTTCAGTAAGTTTAGTGTGAGCTTTCAGAAGTCTTGATTAAGCTTCCTAAAGGAAATAGGTACCAAAAATATTTATGAGAAAATTTTATCATCTCGCTCTACCTAGGCATTTAGTTTATTTCCACAAACATTATTTTAGACAGAAACTGTTAAATAATATGTATAAAAAAGTGTTGAAAGGCGGTAAAGAAAACTTATTATTTTAATCACAAGCGGAATTCTAAAAGCTTTTATGAATAAAATAGCGTTATTGACAGTATCAACGGTAATGTAGAGCGTGTTAGGGACCCATTCGGTTTGGCGTTAACAATGAATGGAACACGCAACACTAAAGAAAACACATAATTTTCCATGTGGTAGGCAAAAGTACATAATTTTACTAAGGGGCTAGCAGAAGTTACATAGAGAAAGAATTAGATTAAGCTACTATTAAAGGCCGGTAGATCTATTCTCATAAATAAAACACTGGATACTTAGCTTTCACATTTTATTGCCTTAGTTTAAATACAATTAATCACTTAGCACAAAAGCGCGCGGAGTCGTCTCCGCGCGTCCCGCTATTCTAACGTTTTATGCTAGTGTGATGACATTGACATTACGTCAATGTCACTATGACAGCAGCTCATTGGCTATAACGATACCGCTATTCTAACGTTTTAGATTTTTCACAATTAACACTACCTAACCTCTTAGTTACCTTTCAATTACGTTTTAAATCTCTTTAATTCAGATCACTACAATAAACAGCTGAGTTCGCAATGAAGAAGTCCAACTAAAATTTTAGATTCCTTGTAAGTAATAAATAGTATCGATCCCAATCATCATAAGAATAGATAATCTCGAATACAGACATGAAATAAATTCCTACATTACAACCTGTAAGGAGCTTACAGCTCATGTACCTAATGGAAGTGTTAAGTCTAACACATTGTGGTTTCCAAGTTTAGACGTTAAGCTGTATAGAAGCGCCTACCGTACTTATTTAATTCCACTGTTATACCTCTTATTATTCAGAACTATTAATCCCAGTGCGTTCATTTTACCAGCTCACCGACAGCCTTTTCTTAGTAGTTATCTTATATATTACCTACAATCCTTTATTTTCAGCAACAAATACTACAAATCACTGTAACCACCGTTAGTTTCCTTGCAAATAAATATAATGTGTGAAATACACCGTCATCGCTGCATGCGTCCCGCGTGCGACCAGTTAGTCTTACTAATGTGTGTTGCCTCCATTTTTATGGCTGTTAACTGCAATAAATATCGCCGTCTGTCCGTCCACAAGCGCCTGTAAAGGCTTACCAACTGATGTATTGTGTGCACGTCTAGTTACACCAGTTAAGCTTTCACACCTTAACCGTGAGAGCATAGAGTTCGGTTTCGTCTGAATAGCTGCGTTTGATAATGCTGCAGAAAGTGAAAACTTCAACAAGATTGTTGCAAAGACGGACGTATCGGGAATAATGCGAAAAATTCTTCGAAAACTACTCGGAATGCTTGTAATAAAATGTCGAAAGTGAACTGAAATAGGTGCTTATTGTTTATTAGGTTGTAGTGGTAAAAATGCATTTTAGTGTTGGAAATGTGATTGATTATTATCATTAATAAGGTAACGGATCACTTAATTAACAGTACGGCAATAAAAACGTGTTGTTTAAGTAATTGAGTCCATTATTACACTAATAACTCCAAGGTACGAATGTTTAAGAAAAACACTTCATATACTCGTATGACCCTGAAAATCCATAAGGTACTTTAAATTCACAGTAAAATTAGATTCTTGGTTGCTTTTAAAACGATAATAAGAACTAATTACATTTAGCTTAACTTTAAACTAGTTTCCAATTTCCAGGCTAAATAATTTTCACCCAGAACATTACCCACCTCCTTAAGAACCTACATGCAAGTGAATATTTTAGAATCAAAAAACTTTCAGGCAAGTAAGTTCCTAAAAGTTAGGCGAAGTTTTCACAGCGCAGTGACTGTAAAATATTGATCAACTACTCGCCTTTCTCACCAGTTTGACATAATATTTTCAGTTAAAATTCATAATCTCAATTTAGAACAAGTTTTTTTACTTGAGGCTTGAAATTTCATTAAAATTATGCGAAAAAGTTCCATCAAATTCTGGGTTGAGGGGAGTAATTAAAAGAGTTTCACAACAGTTCACTTTTAAAGCTCCTTTGATTCTCATATATGGTAATGTAGTTACCCCGTCAGGGATTGCAAATTTTTCATGCAATGCTCAAGTTTATGGGATGAAACTTAATCATCTAAAACCCACTAGGTACGAATATACGAAATATAAAGAAGAAAGAAAGAAATCAACAATACTATTTATTTATTTATTTATTTTTAACTAATGATATTTTTTTTCTACATTAAAGCACCTTAAAATTAGTATATCGGTAGAATGAATTTTGTCGCGAAACTGAGAGAGACTCAATCAGAGGTGAAATCAGGTATAATTTCTGGGTGCTTTT